AAACATATAAATAATTGAGTCATGACGCAATTATTTTTGAGGATTTTGGGAATTGAGTTAACAGCAAAATAATTTATACCACACATATAACGTAGACTACCAAATTTAGGGGTATAAATGTCAAGTAGGGCACAACTTCTATAAAGTAGTCTTAAACGTCTCTTTATGTCAGCATTGTCCATACAGTAATTATTTTCAAAATTGCCTAATCGAGTTAATAGGTTTTTCTTTTATAGTCTCATAGACTATAGAGAAAAGGAAATTATCAGTGTGGAAACTGGGAAATGCACTAAATATAGTATAATTATTATAATACTAACTGGATAATCGATACATCACAACACCTTAACTGGAGATCACAATCTCAATGCCCACTGGATCAGCATGTGAAATGGCTTTACATAAGAAACAGTATATACAGTGACACCTGTCTAAATATATATTGTATATTTGTATAATCTTTATTATTGCATAAAAATAATTTGATTCCATGTTGATTTTTCCAAGAATTCTTAAAATACCTATGTAATTTTGAATGGTGCTGCAAATTCAGAGCGCTATAGCTCAAAATCCTAGTTATAAATCTTTTTTTCTGTTCTATATAATTATTTGCAAAAAGACTAAAGAAATAACTTTTATTAAGATCTCAAAAACAATTGAGATAGTAATTTCTTAAGTAATTTAGCATTTTCTGTTATGAATAGAAATTTCTTTTGATGATTATAAATCATAATCTTAATACTAAGAGGAATATTTATATATAAACATATATATGCATATTCTGTTTAAATGCATAAAAGTTTGTTGGTCCCAACAGTATGTATTTAGACAGGTGCCACTGTATTAGGTTATGATGTCAGATACCATGTAATACTGTTCAACTGCCTTCACATAAAGTTGAATCAGTATTTTGTGATCTGTCTTATGAAGTGTTAACTATTACACTATAGACTTACAGATCTAAATTAAAAATTTTTTTAAAAAAATATTAAATTAATTAATTTTATAAAAAAATTTTTATAACATTAAAAAAATTTTTTAAAAAATTTTTAATTGATTAATAATTATAAATATAAATATATATATATAATTTGAATTAATTTATTTTTAATTTTTAAAATATTAAAAAAGTATATTTAAAAAAATCATATTATTATATTATTATAATATGTATAATTTATAAAAAATTTATTGTATTTTAAAAAACAATTTTAAGTTTCATATAATTTAAATAATTGATTATTAAATTATAACTAAATATTTAACTTTGATTTTTTTTATATCATACTGTATACAATTTGAGTTAAAATCAAAATACAATATAACAAATATTTTATTTTCATATATATTAAATAAAATAAAACTTTACTTATAAAGTTTAAATTTAAATTAAAAATTAATCTTAATATTATTACTAAATCTATTTTTTTTAAAATAATATCATAATTAAATTTTTATTTTTGTTATTAAAACTTTGATTATAAATATTTTTGTTTTTATTTTTAATTATCATAATATAATTTTTCTTAATTTTGAATAGATATTCAATATTATCTAACTAATATATTCATTTAATAAAATTTTTTAATATAAGTTAAATAATTATTGTAAAAAAAACTAATCCATATTTAACTTTTTGTTAACTCAAGTAGGAAATGTTGGTTTTTTCAGAATATATATTTTATGATATACAAATAATATTTTAAAAAATTAACTTTGATTATTTCAAAAAAAAACAATACAATAATACGAAAAGTATTATTGATAATTTAATAATTTAAATCATTTGTTAAACTTATTTAACTACTATAGCTTTATTTATACTATCGTGAAACCTATTGATTATATAATTTTAAATTAAAAACATTAATTAAAATAAATCGGGTATATGGTTTTTAAATTCCGTTTAATACAATATATCACAGTTCTATTTTCAAATTATTATTATAAGCGATGTGAATCACATACTATCCCTCTGATGATATCTTTGTATTTCACACCACGCATACGTATTACGTTATCAATTATGTTTTTACTAACGTCATGGGATGATACTTCATTGTATTTATCATTATTTGCGTGAATTTATTTAAGAAAAATTTTACGCTATGTAATAAACATTCTGCCTGTTTTTGGTTACTTATTCCGTATTAACGTCCAGACAAAAAGAAAGGTAATTAATTAAAAATGGTTCATTGTAAGATCTAAAAAAAAAGAGTCACTTTAATAATAACCATAAACATATAGCGAAATGAAATCTGTGTATTAAAGGCGCAGTTTCCATTTAAGAATAATTAGAGATGGCACATTGTGTATTTATTGTTAGTCTAATGACATCAAAATATGTTATCGTCTATTTTAAAATTAATCCATATTAAAAGCAACAAATATAGGATTTTGAAAAAAAATATTATTGGTATTTTTGTAATATAAAATAACTTGAGGATTTTTTTTTAATAACCATTTTTTTTACTTTTCGATTTTACAAATTGTCACTGAAAGTAACAAAATATTTAGAATGAAATATTTTTAATCTTTATGCATTACTTGATTTTTTAAAAATTTCTTCATTCTAATCTCATTAGAGAATGTATTATTATCATAATAAAGTAAAAACATAATATGATTGTATAAATAAGGATTAAAACAAATCGATTGAATTATGGGTCGGCTAAAATATTTCGTTAAAGAATCCTAAGAACTCGACCCTTAAGGTCTCTAGGTTGATTTTTATCTATTGGCGGTTGGCAATGTTTAAGTCACATGACATTGTTTCACATGATTAAAACTAAGTAAATGCCGACTATCTATGTACGCACTTTTAAGAAAGCTTAAAATTCACTCATACTCTTCGTTTGGTACGTAAAATGCCTCCGAAAAAAACCAAACAAACTACCGAGAAGGAAAGCTCTCCTTCATCGGTGAGAAGATCTTCTCGGCAAAGAACAGTCAAAAAGACACTAATCGAAGACGACCTAGATTTATTTGAAGAAGAACCCGAGATAGAAAAGACACAAAAAAGACGCGCTAAGAAAACAGCAGCTTCAAGAAGCAATCGAGCGAAAAAATCTTGTCACGAACAAGCTGATATATCTATAGATGAGACCTCACGTAGTCAAGGTGAGAGCGAGCAAAAGGTTGTTGATAATTTCCATAGGAATGAGCGAAATTTTAATAATGTTTATTGATAAAGAAGGGGAAATGGAGGGAATTATGGAGGAAGATGTCAAGGATGAAGATACCAAAGAGGATGACGCGTCTCCTTTACCTCAACAAACAAATAATGAAGACAATATTAAATTGGAAACAGGATCTTCTATAGTTAATCGATCCAAAGATGATGATACCGATACCGATCCAATTGTTCAGCAAAGGTGGGAATCTATTAAAGAACGACTTTTTGAAATTCCCAAGATCCCTAAACCGCCTTACAAGGATTATCAAGACAAGTTACTGGTGAAACATCCTTGGATGAAAAAGAGGGATATAGATTATCTTCACAAGCTCCTCACCGATCCAAAATCTGAATTAGGATATAAAGTTATAAAGGTAAGGATCTCACTTTAGACTCGTTCTTCAAATCTTTTTCTAGTCTCTAGATTTATATGTGTATATATACATGTTTTTTTTTTACCAACTTAGCATATTATAAATTATAATGTGTACAGTAATTTCACGAATGAACAAAAGGCACGCCTTTTGAACCTTTTACCACGTTCAGAATTGGTTCCGATCGCAAGTGATGCTGGTGAACCCATTGATACACCGCGAATAGAACGAGAACGCCAATCAATGGGATTAAAATTATATGAGGCTGGAATAACGGATGTAATAACAGAAACAGATCCCCTCAAGGTTGTTCCACGCTTCGATTTTTGGCTATCAGATGCGTTTAAAGACGCTCGATGGTGGTTTCAATTGAGCATAAGATACGGATACTTTACAAAAATAGGCGTTGACACTCAATGGACTAATCTGGAAAAGTTTAAAACTGAAATTCCTGATGTTTGGAAAGTAAGAATTATTAATTATTGGAAATTATGACTATATCAATTTTTAATAAGTTTTTTTTAATATTTTTGATGATAGAACGACGCCTACGAACAGGATTGGGGTATTGGGTTATGGGGAAAAATGGGAAATAAACAAATCGCCGGGTAAAATACATCTCCGTTTATTTTAATCGTAATGATCGGTATGGCTCGTTCTTGTGGTAATCAAAAATTTTGAAAAAATTAGCGATTCCGCTCAAATAACGCTTCCGGATTTGGCCAAAGCATTGATAATTAAACCGAATGACACTTTAAAATATAAGCGACAATTTAAAAATATCGGTGTGACAGTGAGCATGGATGTGAAGGTAATCCGAAAAATTTAAACGTGTAATAATTTTACTATAATTAATATGTACTGATCGTTAATTCGAATTTTTATTTAGGTGATTTCTATTAATGAATCGAACGGACATCTACAGATTAAGCTGATTAAAGGCAAGCAAAGTAAAACTCTTGACGACATTCATAATCCAACTCGTCTTGAGAACGAGCTTTTGGATTTTGATGGTCAAGTACCAAAAAAATCGCGTCCCAACGGCAACGCCTTTAAAAACTTTTCCATTCAACGTTCTGCAGAATACACCCCAAGTTTATTTGAAGCTAGAAAGGAATATTGGGCAAAGAACCAATAGTCAATTATTTTATCTTACGTCTTAATAGCAACCCTATCGTTATTTTTTCGACTGTCACATATTAGAATTTCGTTTATGCAGTTGGACTAAGCTATTATTGTTTTTGATTATTTTAATATTCATTCATCTGTACTCTCAATAATAGTCTCTTTAACCGATTTTTAAATCCTATTAAATAAGTGAATAAATGATGTTTATACGAAAAATCTTAAGAACGATGTCAGTGTTGCATCATAGGATTAAAATTGTAGATAGTGTAATCGTTTAGAAATAGATTTTCAAACAACAATAAATTTAGTGACTGCATATACACCAATTTCAATCTTGTTTACTTTCATAAATTACGAACTTTGATGAACTTTTTAAATTATTTTGTAAGAATCCAAGATCCAAGGATGTATCTGTAATATATATATATATACTGTATATACTGTATATACAGTATGTTAATCCTGATAATAATTGAATTGCTGGTTAAAGTTATAATATTTTTATATTGCAAATAATTAAAATATCTTTCCATATATGGAAATCAATCGTGTTTCCATATATATATCAGATATGGTAATTTGAATCATATTTTATATACGGGAATATACATATGCCCAATTAAATATAAAATAACAGTTTATAATATCTAATTTGAAATTACTATATTAAAGAAAAAAATAAAAAATTATTTGATACAGCATGTTTCTAATATTTTATATTAAAAAATTTTTTATCTAGAATTGAAATTTTTAATTAAAAGTCATTGCATAAATATAATAAATACTAATGGATTTATGAATTGATAAACGTGATAGGCAACGTCTAAAACATATAACATGTAAATTGTTAATCAATTAATTGAGTTATCTTAACGACAGTAGTGATTTATACAACTTTAAAGCAGCCACGTGGTGCAGAATATATTTATTTTTTTACATTCTCCGTGAAGTTGTACAAAGGTCGTACATCAAAAACAAGTCTGTCGTGGGACATTGATGTGACTATGTGATCTCACAATATTCCTATTTCTAGCACTTTGAAAAATCATAATTCTCTGTACGGCTTTTCGAAAACCATTTATAATGGCAACTACTAAAGTCTCGAACGATGCAGGCTCAAAAAATTGGCTTAAAGAGAGAGCTGCTATATGTAAGTCGAAACATCAAATACTATTCGAATTTGATCTTATATCACTCTAAAGACTTGGAATTTCTGAAACGCGCAAATTTTAAACATTCTATTCATCTACATTGGATGGAACACCTTTTATACATTGACTAGCCGCTGCTCATAGGCGTCAAAAAACTGACCCTGCTGTAGCTCGCCTTATCGAAAAAGCTGATCAATTACATAAAGAACGCACGCAGAGACACTTACATGAATCCGCAGACGGTTCCACTGAAGAAACAGATGAGGTTCCTGAACCTCCCGTAATTGTCGAAGGTAGAGACCGCCGCGCGGCCGTAAAAAAGTCTTTACGCCGAAGTGTATTATTTTCATCACCACTTAATGTTTCGACGATGCCAGCTGAAGACGAGGAGGGCGAGGATATTGACGCAATTGTAAATGTACCTCCGCCCGAAGAAATAGTTGTCAAAAGTAGGTTCGGAAAAATTAAATCAACTTGGTATTATATCATTTATATTAACTTCGATTTATTTGGTATTTATTAAGTTGCCCCGAAAAATCCTGATGAAGAAGAAATAACTCCGAAACATGATAAAGAATCAACCGAAGATGTATATCGTTCCTTTGCAGAGTCCATTCTTGAACAAGGGTTAACAACAGAATCTTCATTGGAACTTACCTTCGATCTTAAACCGGAGGATATAGAAGTGCCTGACTCCAGTGAAGAAGAAGAAGAGGAAGATAAAGGAGATGATGATGATGAGGAAGATGATGGGGAAGAAAAAGAGGAAAGACATGGTTGTATCAAATAATACTTTATCTCCTTTTTAATCGAACCGACTATTCATACTTTGTTTGTATCTGACAGACGATGGAGATATAAATCAATTGGATAATGAGGAAAAAGACTCAAAAGCAGATGCGGGAACCGAAAGCTTAGATGATGATGAGTTTGAACACATCGAAAAAGGTAAAATATTGGAGGGGTTTATTGAAATTCCGTTATTTTCAAATATCACTTTATTTAACTTCATTTATTATGTATAGAGGAAACTAATAAGGAGTCAATGGAAGAGGTGGTGGTTGTGGACATTGTCACGACATCAGAAAATAATGATTAATCTAATTTATTCCAGAGAACTTTTTCTAATAGACAACACTTTCTGAGTTACCTATATAGTGTATATTTTTATAAATAATTAAATCATTGTTTTTTGGGAAGGTCACAAGGAATATTGGTTTTCTCGTTATTTGCGGATGTACATTGTGTACATATATCTGGCGGGTGTCTGGTTATAATATATTGGTTCATTAATCTTAGAATTCAAATTTGTATAGCAATTTCTATTGTAATATTTTTTTTTCAATATTTGTTAATATAAACTGGCCTATTTATTTTTTCATCCCGATATTAAATCAATCGGATAACGAACGCAATAAAATCATTGGATCTTTGTTTTCTCTATATTCTCTAGGCTTGTATCGAAAATGCGCAATTTAAAATTTGACCTTTGTGAATATATGATTCATATCAACAATTTCAGATAAATATACTACTGTATATTTGAAATCCACTTTAATATATAAAAATACAGTAAACCAAAAAGCTATCCAAGTATGGTAATTTTTATTCATTTGTTACAATATTGTCTTAATTATAGTAAAACCATATTTCTTATAAAAATTCCTATTTGAAATTTCCAAAATAGATCGTTTTTTAATATAACTTGTGATTTCTTGATTTGTTAAACTCACAAAACCAAAAATGGTCTAAAATCGGAATTGTAAAAAAATTAAATTAAAAATTTATACATAGCAATTTGGGGTTTTTATATTAATAATAAAAAGTAAATAAAGATTTAATTATTATTATTATTAGTATTAAAAAAATTGAATTTAATTTTTAGTTTTTAAATACAAAAAAAAAATTTTTTTTATTATATATACAATATACATATATTGTATTTATTATTATTTAAATGTATTTAAATAAATTTATATGGCATATTATAATTTGAATTGAATTTTTTTTTTTAATTATGATTGGTTAATTACAGTGTGTTAAGAAAAAAAACCGCAAAACTTTTTATATCAAATATTTAATATTAAATTAACAAATATAAAACAGAACAATTACAACACATATTTTTAAGATATATGTTTAAAAAAAAATAGTAAATTTTATATTAATTTTTTAATAAATAAATATATATATTTTTTTATTTCAATTTTATTATAATTAATTTTTATTAATGTAATTATGAAAAAAATTTTATATAAAAATATTTTGGATTTTGAAAAATAAATAAATAAATTTTTTTATTAATAAGACAAATAGATAAAATTTATTAAAATCAAAATTCTTTTTTTTAAAAAATTACAAATAGGTATTATATGTAAAACTTTAATTAAATAAAAGTTTATAGCTATTATATTAAAGATCTTTATATAAAATACAAGTTAACTCTAGCCTATCACAACTTTTTATTAATATTAGCTTACATCAAGTAGATTGATCTATACTAATAATATAAAATTTAAAATTTATATTTTCTAATTGTATTATATACTATATATATTTTTATATTAATAAATTTTAAAATTTAAAAAAAAAAGACCTGTGAATCAATAATATAGTAAATAGTACTTTTAAGTTTTCAAATACATATATCTAATTTAATACCTATAGGAAGCAAATGCAAAAAATTTTATCTATATATAGATTTATTGATTTTTTTACATATAAAGTATCCAAATATTCAAATCCTAATTAAATTTAGTTAGAAACTTAAACATATGAATCTATATAAGACAAGGTCTTTAATTATAAGTAATGAAAAATTAGTTAAAAATTATTAAGCTAAATAGGTTTAATAATAAGAATCCTAATAATTCTCTTCAATTCTGTATTTGATTCTTAAATTTATATTAAATTTAATAGATAAAGTATATCCCATCATCATTTTTAATAGTGTTTTAAATCTTATATGATTCCTTGTAATTTTGTTCAATTCCAATTTTCAGAACCATATCTAATAAAAACCAATACAAGATTAAATTAGAATTCAAACAAAAATATTAATATTACAGATGATAAAAATGGTTATACTATAATATGCTAATGATATATTTCAAGGATTGATAATAATAGATAACTAAAATAACTGAAATAATATATGTAGTTATACTATAGATTTTTATTATATATGATAATACAATTTTTAATTTTTTTTTAATATTAGAATAAAGTATACTCATGATTTTTATTAATAGAGTAAAAGTTTAACTTGTTATATAATTAATATTAAGATATAAATTATATCATTATAAATATTAGCCTATCACTTATTAAACAAATATATTATCTAAAAAATTCTTAAGTAGAAAAAACCTGAGAAACTATTTGTTGTGAAAAATAAAAATAAAAAAACATTTGGAGCAAAATTACTAATATTATAAAATATTTGAATAAAAAGAAAGAAAAAAAAAATTGAAACTTTTGTTAAATATGATTTCTGAATATAATTAAGTATTTCAGTCAAGTGTCAACATTGTACAAGTCATATATAACTCGATGGGTTTGATTGTATAATGTTGTTATTATATGATATAATTGTATTGTAATATAAATAATAGAATAACTGTAATATATTCCAGATATCTATTATATTGTTTTGGTGAAGTATTATATATTGTGATTATCAAAACCCATGCAAAATACTGATCACATATTTTTTCAATCTAATAAATTATTATATTGTTTTGGTATATAAAGATAATATAAAGTGTAATTGGTATTTTATATGTTATAGATTATTTGATAGAAATAGGCTGGTTGCAATTTTTATGTTGAAATTTGTAAATGAGAATTGATAACTAGCCAGAAGATTATGTGAAATCTAGCACTAGTTATCATCAGTAAAAAAAAAAACAAAATGATATCTCTTGAGAATAGGATTGTTTTTAAGTTAAGGATAAGAGATATAATTGTTTTGTAACAGCTATGTGTAAAGATGGCCTTCATATAAAAAACTTTCTTTTTATTTGTATTCTCTGTTTTAAGTTATTACCCAGTGCCATTATCAATTATTAGTCCTCTTAGCATAGGCCATTGCTGAAACTCCAGAGACCAATTTTATTCTTGAAATCCTACTGCTTTAAATCAGTTCTTCAGTCTATATCCCTTCTTTAAAGAATATATTCCGTTAAATAAAGTTTCTTGGAAAAAAAAAGTTTTTTACAAAAGCAATTTTTTATAGATGGAAATATTGTAAAAAAGAGTTTTTTTTTAATACAATTTTTAATTAATTTAATATATTTTTAATAGTAATATTATTTTTGAAAAATATTCAAATTCAATTTCATCTTATATATAATTAGAGTTAATTTCTATAATAATATTTTATACTGTTTCTTTTATAGCAGATATAGTCACAACTAGATTTAATAAATAAGTAGTTTAAACTAATAGTAGAATTTTTTTTTTTTTTTTCCCATAGTCAAACAAGTATGTACTGTTTATTGAATCTATACAGAAAACAAATAATGTATAATACATTGTATTGCATAAACTATTCTACTGCCTTGA